CCACAGTCCTCAAATATTATAACTGAATGGCAAAGAGCAATCAGCACAATATTGAAAATATCCCTTTTTGTGTTCTATGGAAGAAAGAAACTCTTGAGGGTGCGTAAATGATGACAGAATATTTATTTTTGGACAAATTATCACTGGTATACCAATGACCGCTTCTTCACACTAATATTTCTTGTTTAATTAATCATCTCATGATTAAGGTCCTGCACTTGCAATTCTACTGAATAATTCAATGTGTTTTCAGAATGCTCTTTACGATGTCTGGAAAATCTTGACAGATCTCAGAAGTCATTCAAACACATCCAATTCTGAGCAAACAATACTCCTCCAGAGCACAGGTCAGCTCAAAACATCAACTGACTCTCATCAGTGTTACAAAAAAGCTCCGACGCTGCTGCTGAAAAATGAAAATGACGCACTATGTTTTTATATATAAACCACTTATGACAATAGCATATTACCTCTCTGCTCCAGACATGGAAACACAGGTTGAAATGTGCAGATGTTTCTAGTTGCCTGGTTTGCAAAGAGCCCTCTTCCACTACAGTAGAGCGTTTCTGTGATCTTCTAAGTGCTCTGACCGTGTTGCTCTGAACTCATATCTCAGCCTGGAGAGAAATGATTGAGATACCTGGGTCCTTCTGCTCAAGGTCAAGGTAGTGCCCCCTACAGCGTTTTCCATCACTTTTATTTTGTTGACTACCTTAATGATTAAATATCCGTCCATTTTATGTCACATTATTGGATTCATTTCAAACTTATCACAGATGAGGAAAGAAATGGTCAAATCAGAAAAAAAGCAGAAGGGAAGTTTGTGATAGTTCTTGAAGTTGTTGAATTTAATTGAACACCAGTTTGTCAACATATCAATGATGTTATGCATGATGCAAGTATACCTAACATCTTTCTAAATTCTTATCTAATTAGAACAGCATGATTGCGATTGTGTGATACTTCTTTATAGAAACATGTGAATAATATGAAAAGAGGTTCATATTAGGTTAGTTGACCCATAAATTAAAATGGTCATGAATTACTCACATAAGACTTTCATTGATTTTTGAAACACAAATGAAGATAAAAAAAGACAGATTTTTGTTAATAATTTGAATTGGATTAATATATATATATATATATATGATGACAGACTTTTCATTCTTTTGAAAAAAAAAACCTATATATATATATATATATACACACATACACACA